ATGTTTTGTGTGGTTTTATTCCAGGAAGTCTGGACAACGAAGATGATCGCAAGTCCCAGCAGAACCTGTTTAGAGTATTTAAAGCTCACCTTACGGTTAGCATGAGCACTTCCTGTAAGGAGGTGTATAAAAAAAACACCATCAAGCATAACGGGCTTTCAATGTTGGGTCAAAATCACCACTTCTGTATACATAAATATAGATACATATGTATATTTTGAATTAATTTACTTTTATTCATACACCCTCCTCTTCCTCTCTGAGTCGTCCTCCATCTTGAGCATCTTCAGGATGAAGGATTTGTTGCTTTGCCTTGCGGCTAAGCTTTTTTATAAACAAGTAGAATTAAACTATTCTGAACTGGGTTACAATGATCAGAAATACGCATAATTACCTTTGCTGCTAACTCACACTATTTAAATAAAGTGAACTGAGTTGAAGAGATGGCAGGGGATTTATAAGTAGATATTCTTACACTTTAAAGGTGAGAAAAGGGCAGAGTTCTGTATTTTCTCCAGCCAAACACAAGTGTTCTCACCTAAAGTCTGAACTTTGCATTCAGCCGGTTTGCCCTGGTGAGGTTTGGTATCTGTCCCTTCGGTTTGTTTATAATAAGAACACACTTTAAATTTAATCTGCATGTTTATTGCTCTTTACAGAAAAATCTTCTTTCCTCTGCAGTTTTTGTCACACTGCAGGAAGTGGCAGATACTGACAGTTCTTTTAAACACTTCCTCATTCAGGACATTTCTTTGTTTTCGATGAGCCCGTCTCAGCGTTTCTGTGAGCTTTTCGAAAATGAACTTGTATCTGTAAACATTTTAAAGTGGATTCTTCCTAATGTCCAGCCCACTAAAGCCTGAGCCATCACGACATGGTGCAGCATGCTTACCTCTCCAATGATACACTGATTTTTTCTGTATTTTAAAAACACTAACATACACATAAGTCCCAAAGTGAGAGGCCTGTTTGTGCTTTTCTTCATTTAATTTGAAGGAAATTTCGTCCGGCTGCTGGACGAAAATGTTTGAGGACATTTTTCACCTTTTTTGTATTTTTTAGAAGGACATAACATATGACCACATCCATAATATCTCCTTTGGATGACTCAGGAGCCGGTGGTCAGACGGGTTTACTGTCAGATTCTGCTGATTCATCTTCATCCTTGTACACTTTGGTGTGAGATCATTGTGCACACCTTAGCATGAAGTCACTGGTGAAATCCCCCAAATAGTCAAACACATACCTGGAATCTTGCATTAGGAGCCCGTAGAGTAGAGCTATTTTAAAGATTAAAGTAGATTAAAACACAAATAGAGACAGAAAGTGTGAGCTTTTTTCTGCATTCAGCCCACAAACACTTAGAAACACAATAACCTGTTCAGGATAACAGCACACAATTAACATAACCAGCTTATATGTGACGGTTTTGACCAGCTTGATAGTGTGTTGGCACATCTAAACTTTTGGCGAAGGCAGGTTAAAAAAATTAAAAATACAAATAACTTATCTGGGAATCAAAGAGAAGATTCAGTGCAGTATGCTGGTTTCCTCATAAAGTAGCTTGTTTTTATTGACTCTAGTGAATTGGATGTATTTAAGATGAATAAACTAGCACTGATTGAATTTAGAGTGATTTCCAGTGAATTGGATCATAATTGGCTTGACAGTGACAAAATTTTGGATTTGAATTGATCTGAATATGTTTTTTAAATAACCATGGTTGGACTTGTTCTTTACAGTAACTTTTTTTTCCTCTTTTCGGACTTTCTGTTTCTTCCTGATTGTGAGATTAGATTAAATTCCATCTATTTATCAAGTATGTAAAAGCACAAACACACTTGTTGCTCCTCCTCTTTGCATAGTTGCAGTCATTTATTTTTTCCTTGTAAGTCTTTCACATGTAATTCATGCTGATGTACACATAAATGTTCAAAGCTGAGCTCAAACTTTTCCAGCAACATGAGCTCGTCTCTTCAGAGGTCACTGATAACAATCCTGTGATTTTTAAACCCACATTATTCCCCGAACATGAGCAGCAATCTGCAGGTTTCTGTTTCGTGAACAGGTCGGATGGATGTGGGATTATGTAAGAGTGGATCTGCCTTATTTAAAGCACTTTTGTGGCAGATTTGAAGCCAATTTTAAAACAATGTGGAGCTATTTTTAGCACAGAATCTCCAGCAACTTAATCCTGACTTTGGTTAAAGGTTACTGTGTGTTTTTATTATCTAGTTTTATGTTAGGAGATTTTTTTTTATTCCAAAATTCCAACAAATATAGCTAATTTCCTCTGGTGATTGTACCCCTCATCCAGCAAACAGAGAATTTTTAAAGGATCCATTTTTGGAGACATTTGAATTGAATTGACATGCTTCCTCTGGACTGTGCTCCCAAAGGTCCACCTGTCCTTGATTCCTGCAGGTACTTGGTTACATCCAAGCAAACCAAAACACATTTACCTCAAATGTGAAATGATTTCATGTGCCATTAAAGCTTGTGTTGGTTTAAAGCTGGTTAAACTGGTTTGTGACTGAATACTGTACATCTGAAAGCATGTTTCCACTTTTAAATGAAGATGCTGCTGAAATGCAGTAAAACTGCGCTTCTTCTTACATTTTCGTGACATTTAAAGTTTGCTTTATTCTAACTGATTGTTTAGGTTATTTATTTGCTGACTGTGTGAGAGAAAAGGAGCATTTCCTGCTTCACATGGGCAGCAGAGTCACGTACTCTGGGAACTTCGAAGTTAATAAAAAACAGCAGCGCAACTACATGTAAATAGTCTGAACTTGAAATAAAATCTTTAATCATTGGGTGGGGCTACAAAGCTCCTGAATATCCACATTTCCCCAAGGCGATAAAAAACTGGCCTGTTGTTCAGTTTCTGTCAAAGCTGAACCCTCATCTGAGCAGTAGCACCCTCTAGTGGTCATGCTGAGACACTACACTTCTAAAACTTCCAGAGTTGTGTTTTCATATTATGTAAACTGTGTTGATTCATTTCATCTTAAAAAGCTGTAATACTGATTAAAACTCACTTAAAGTTAACGTATGTATATTTGTGTTTACTTACTAACTTACTGTACTGATGTATAATTCATAAAAGTGCTCCTCTCTCTACCTTAATTTACAAAAACATTATGAGAATCCATCACTGAACAACAATCATTAAACTCAATTTACACAAACAGTATTTCAAACACTGTATCAATTAAACTGTGAAATAAAAACTTTATTGTATCATGCCAGTACAATAGAGTGACTTAAAAATGTAGATATATGCAGATATATATGTCTTCCTCTGATATTTTCATAGTTTTACGAAAAGCTGTTGATGATTTTGATTAAGTTCAATAAGAAGTCATTTTTTACTGTTTAAAAAGTCAAATGAATAAGAACAAGTTTGAATAAAACAATTTATCTGTGTCTCCATGTTTTAACTGACTTATTAGCACATAGATACAATATCCCAACAAGCATTTTGGCCCCATAGTGGATCACAAGGACAAAATCATATTTTAAAAATGTAATACAGCAAACACTCGGAGAGTTCCACTGAGTATAAAAATCTTATATATGATCCATCAATTAAATGATTGCACATAGATAAATATCTATTTTAGAAAATATAATTTTACATACTGAATAATTTGAAACCAGAAACAAGCACAAAAAAAAGGTGATTTCTGCTCACTGCTGCTGATTTTACACACACTATTAATATGTACTCCCAAAGAAAACATGCCCTGTTATCCGTTTTGGATTACAGCTACTTTTCAACAGGCAAAGGTTGTCAAGAACGTGTAAGCTGGTTTGTGAGGAGGGACCTAGCGAGCTAGCTCCTCCAGGTGTCTGCACACAATCAGCCGGTTCTTGTTCTGCTTTCAGCTCACAGAAAGAACCACCAAATAACGAGACCCACAAAGAAACACAGGACAGCAGACGAGCTGAAGAGGCCGTCTGATGCTGGGGGGGACGGGCCTGTCGGGGGGGCTCGCTGCCTTATTCTCTCTCTTTGGAATGAGGGGGATCGAGAAATCGAAAGGATGGATTGAGGTTGGGGGACGATATAAAACGAAGCCTCTAAGATCTCCTTCTTCTCTTGTGCAGTTGGCAGACCGTTGCTCAGAGAATCCTGCATTCTCCTCCATGAATCCATCTCAGAACGCCAGAGTGCGGCTCTGGCTCTGATGAACTTTGAGATGATGGTCTCGGTGCCCTTGGCCAGATCTTTGCCATCCTTACAAATAAAGAAGACATCTAAACCAAGGAAGAGAGCATTTAGAGTGATGAGGCCCGCTCGAGCCCCCTTGGACAGAGCGAGAGGCCCTTTGGTTGCAGCCTGACCCACGTCTGGGAGGTCCGAGGCCAGCCCGCAAAATTTCGAACCCGATTCAACTTCTTTCGCTGCAGCACCACCTGCACCTTCCATTTTCAAAGCTTTTAAAGAAGAGACGTTGTCAATAAGTGAATCTATGGTTTTTCCAACGCCGCCCATGCTAAGAGCAGCCTGGCCGAGTTCCATGAGCACATCGTTTGTACTTGTTTGCACTTCGGTCCCAGTTTGGCTCCTCGCCTCCTCAAGGCAGGACTGGATCTTCTGCATACACCTCACAAAGCTTTCGAAGGCTTTCTGACCTTCATTTTGGTTCTGTTTATTAACCAGGGTCCCTGTGAGGGTGGTGATAGCGCTGTTGGTTCCACTGGCCACCCCCAGCACCAACCCACTGATTGACAGAGCTACAGACGCCCCCGCTGTTACAGGGATTAATGCCAAACCAATGATGGACAGGATGCTTCCAATGGCTCCCACCGAGCTGCCGACCACAGAGGAGATCTTAGCCCCTTTGTTCATTTTGTCGAGGTTCACGGCGACCTCCTCCAGGTCACTGAGGAACCGCAGCATCTCGGGCTCATGGGTGCTGAGCAAATCCATGAAATGGGAGGGAGAAACTTTCTGAAACAAGAACACCATCCGGAAGTCTGGGTCCATCCTGAAGAAGGAGACAAAAGTCTTATTTCACTAAAGACTATGTAACTCACAGCTCTTCAGTTTGGAAATCATTTGTATTTATAGAGACAATAATCAAGGTGTGATTTTGAATTCAAATTAAATTAGCTCTGGTCTTATTTTTAGGGTTAAACCAGGCTTAGATAAGACTACTGAAGAAGGCAGGAGCAGCCCCAGAGGTGGATGTGGGGGTTCTCCATCAGTACCCACTCGGCTCTATTCTTATCACGGTCGTGACACCAAAACCCAAATGCAAAACTCCAGGCAAGGGAATAAGATGAAGTCGTTTAATCCACAAAAAGGTCGGTACACGGGTAGGCAAGGAACAGGCAAAGGTACAAGGACGGCAGGCAAAAACGGTGGTCGAGAATAGGCAAGCAAAGGCCAGGAAAACAAGGCAAGATGAGACTAGAATGCTTGAACGACTGACGAAAGGACAAGTACGAACACGAGACAGACTGGGGAATATATACACCAGACAGGGAAGGAAACAATGAGACACAGGTGGAGGTAATTAGGGAGGAGTCAGGAAATCAAGAGAAAGCAAGTGGGAAAGCAACACTGGGACCAGACAGGAAGGACTACAAAACAAAACAGGAAACATGACAAGACACCCATGACAATTCTCTTTATTCCCAACCCTGATCCTCAAAGAGCTTAGTGAGAACTGTAAATGAAAATACATAACAAACATGGTGCAGAGGCAGGGATGTGTTTAGCACTTGTCAAAAGAGGGAGTGAGTGTGTTTGGATATATGTCTGTGTGGGTGTGTGTGTATGCAAGTGGGTGTGGCTGGGTTTTGGATGATCGCCTGATAAAGATCACCTATGTCTGCCCATGGATCTTGTTTTTTGTTTGAGACAGAGAGGGTAGATATAAGGTGCTGATATTTTTTGTTGACCGCAAAAGTAATCACAAATTAATAGCAAAAGTTGACCTCAGAAGTATCTTGCTAGTTCATTCACAATCTTGTCACAAAGTGTGTTTTGCTGAAAGAGCAAAAAAATAAACGCCCTTCAAGCAGTATTGGATTCAAGGTTCCTCCTTGGACTCAGCGAGTCATACAGAGCCCTTCGTCCTTCCCTCAGTGACTGACTTGGTTTTCAATAGTCACACTACACATGGAATTACCTGATTTCATCGAGCTGGTTAATGTGTTCGTTCATCCTCAAAACGTCCTCCTCAGACAGCAGAAGACTGAGGTTCACCGCAGTGTCTGGGCTGATCTCTCTGTCGAAGTCACTGATGAACCTTTCCAAGGAGAGAAAGAAAGCTGTCATTCTGGACGGTTTACTCAAGACGTGGCGTATCTTTATCAACCATCAGCTCACCTTCGTGGCAGCTTCTCACATAT